GACTAAACGAAGGCGTCGCTCACAGATGGCGTGCGTGATGGTGATCGCCAGCACGCCCCTCTTGAACGGCATGATGGTCGGGTGGACGGCGGTGCTGCCCAAGCTGCAGGAGGACGGCAGCTTCCCCGTGTCCGACGAGGATGTCACGTGGCTCGGTAATTCATTTCCCAAAAAAACATACAGTGAATGAATAATTAACACATACAAAATATATATATATATATATATATATATATATAATATATATATATATATATATATACTATATATATTATATATATATTATATATATATATATATATATATATATATATATATATTATATATATATATTAATATAATACATATATATATTATATATATATATATATATATATATATGAGTATATATATAAATCTGTATGTGTGTGTGTGTGCGCGCGTGTGTATATGTGTTTGTATGTGCATACATGCATACATATATATATATATATATATATATATATATATATATAGAGAGAGAGAGAGAGAGAGAGGAGAGAGAGAGAGAGAGAAGAGAGAGAGAGAGAGAGAGAGAGAGATAGAGATATATAGATATAGATGTATATACATATATTATATATATAATATATATATTATATATATATATATATATATATAGATAGATAGAGAGAGAGAGAGAGAGAGAGAGAGAGAGAGAGAGATTGAGACAGGAAAACAAGTAGCAATGAAGATAAAACTAAAAGGAACATCGGCCGCAGTGTCCCTCATGCTGGTCGTGGGCATCGGCGTGTCCCCCGCGGCCGGCGCCCTGGCGGAGGCCCTGGGCCCCAGGCGCGTCATGTTCCTGGCCATGGCCCCCGTCGTGGGCTTCTGGCTGCTGCAGGCCTTCACGCCCTACCTCGCTTTACTCTACGTCGGAAGGACCGCCGCCTCCGTCAGCGCCTCCATGGTGTGCACGATGGTGCAGCCGCTGGTCGCCGAGCTGTGCCCCACGCGGATCAGGGGAATGGCGTCCACGATGCCGGAGGTCATGAGCTGTGCCGGGGTGCTGCTGGGCTACGTGCTCGCCTACCTGCTGCCCTGGGACGTCGCCACGGCGATTTCTGCCGCTCCGTTCCTCCCTCTGTCTCTGGCGATCCTGTTTGTCCCCGAGGTAGGTGCGGCTCGAATGTCAGTCATTGGAGTATATGCATGTAAAAAAATCGAAAATCTTCACTACTAGGTACACGTATTCAGATATGGTGTTTCTAAAGTGTGTGATATTCCACTATATCATTTGATACTATATATTAAAATTGTGGTATCTTTTCGGTTTCCTTAAAATACATTTGCACGGTAGAATCCATGAAAGGTCATATAGCCCGTGCAAAACCTCCTAGTTTACTCCCACCGAAGAACAAAGTAGCCTGCTAAAAAAGATCAACAATGGTGTTTATAACTTACCATACCGAGATACGCTGCAAATATAAATAGATAGATAGTTATATAGATAATATATAGATAGATAGATATATATAGATAGATCTATAGCTAGATAGAAATAGAGATGGATAGATATTTAGAGAGAGAGAGAGAGAGTGCCTGAGTGGGTGAGTGAGTAAGAGAGAGAGATAAATTGATTAAAAAAATAGATTTATAAATGGACGAATATAAAACATAACATTATAGACGTAGATATTCATCTATCTATATCTATCTGTTATGTAGTTTAGTCACTATCAAAATTACTACTAGGAGAAAAGAAATTTCGGCATTTAAAGTGCGACAAAAGTTTACTAAGTCCAGAATATATATATATATATATATATATATATATATATATATATATATATATATAATATATATATATATATGTGTGTGTGTGTGTGTGTGGTGTGTGTGTGTGTGTGGTGTGTGTGGTGTGTGTGTGTGTGTGTGCATGTATATATGCATGTGTGTGTGTGTGTGTGTGTGTGTGTGGTGTGTGTGTGTTGTGTTGTGTGTGGTGTGTGTGGTGTGTGTGTGTGTGTGTGTGTGTGTGTGTGACAGCAGTATATTACAAACCCTTCAAAATAAAATGAGCAACGCACTATCAACATTCATAAAAGACTGCATATACATTCAGCATCACCCCAGGCTGACAGAAATACATGAGAGAATGATGTCCTGTTGCAGTGTTTACTAATCAAAACACGTACCCTGGCTCACTAAGAGGTGCAATAGCTCACTGCTATGGTATGGTGTAAGAGGGGATGAGGTGTCAAAGGAATTGTGAAAAGTATGTGTGCGTGTGTGTGTGCGAAGTGTAGTTGTGCAAATGAGCCGAAGGGCGGTGGGCGTGGTTAGAATCCCCAGGAGAGGCGTATAAGGATGCTTCATCTAGACTTTAGGGTTTTTGTTTGTTTGCCTTCTTAGATTTGAAATAAAAAAAAATGTTCAGATTCTCAGTCTCCCTTTTTACAAAGTGTCGGGGATTTATATGATGAAATTATCTATTTATTTAATAAAAGTAAAACATTAAACGAAATACGAACACAAT